GAGGCCTGATGCAGCCTCCCACGAGGAGGCCCACTGCCCCCACGCCGAGGCCTGACGCAGCCTCCCACGAGGAGGCCCACTGCCCCCACGCCGAGGCCTGATGCAGCGCTAAAGCCTGCTGTCTTTGGGGGTAAGCATTGCCCTCCGTCACTGTCCTCAAACACTGACATCTGGAAGCGCCGAGGCTAGAGCTGGGCATCCTCTGCCCCCGAGACCTTTTCATCCATGCCCTTTACACTCAGAACCTTCTGGAAGCTCGTTGGGGCAGACACATCTGCACAGCCCACTTGCCTCCAGTGGTCTGAACCGGGGCTCCCAAGGGCCGGCAGTTCCCACCAGGGCTGCCTGCTCAGCTGCCAACAGACCTGAAGACCCTCCTCTCCTCCCCTGCACACTCGCCCTCCCCAGGCCAGGCCACAGCAGAGCCCTTTGCTGTGGCCCTGGGTATCGCTCTACCTCCACCCTCCAGGCCTCCCATCAACTTCTCTCCATTTTCCAAGGCTCACCAAGACCCCTCCTTCCCGCCACCCCCCTGGTAGTCAGGCTGGAGCTGCCCCTGCACTCTGGCAAGAGCTGGCAAACATTTGGGCTTTTAGTTACATGTAAATCAGCGTATTGCAGGCTGTCTCACAGCCTCTGTGTTTTTTCCAGTGTGCTATTTATTTGCCATATTTGTCTCATCATCTGGATTACTGAGCAAAGACCAGAGCCCAGAGCCCAGCAAGGTGCCAGCTTTCCCTCCACCCTGACAGCATTTCCCTGAATCTCGGGGTACCAGCTGCCAGGAGGCCACCTTGGGCTGGGGACAGGAAGTGCAAGGGTCCCTCTGCCTTTGGCTGGAGAAGGGGTGACATAGAGCCAGGGGCAAGGCTAAGGGGACTTCAGTGAGAGGAGAAGGAATAAAAGAGGGGGTGGTGGGGGGAGTCTGAGCCAGTCCCATCGCTCTGGCTGAGTGTGGTCAGGAACAACACTGGGCCAGGTGATGCTGAAAGAGGAAAGGATCTCGGAAAATGTCCTCGCTGTGATAAGATCTGGCTGTCTGGATGCAGGGCCTGATGGTACCCACATAAGGCAGGTGCCAGTCAGGGATGGCCCAGAGATAGCACTGCTGCCTCTGATGAGTCACTGCGGCTCCTTGAGCACACCCCCGGGTCCAGAAGGTCTCTGACATGGCATGGATCCCAGCGAAACTGAGTTTGGGCCCCTGGTTTTTTCAGTGACAGAGCCAGCCCTGTGGACTCAGGCTGGGCCCAAGGGAAATGTGTCTGGCTCCAAGTCTAGAAGCCAGAGCATAAACATGAACTTGAGAGGAGCAGGCAGTTTGCAAGGTGCTTGGTTCAGTGTTTTGTGTTGCAGGGACAGAATAGCATGTAGGTGCAAGCCCTAGACTTGAGCTTCCTATGGCATTGGCATTTAGATTCATGTCCTCAGAACTCACATTCACAGTCAGGCTTGGCCTCGGTTAATCTGGGAGGACGTCTTGGAGGAGATGATATCTGGTTGTGCTGGAGGGAGAGCAAACTTGTGTTGTGCCTGTTAGGAAATCCTGAGAAAGCTGGATTTGGGGGATGCACATATCCTGGAGTGGGTGACAGGGCCTGTAGCATTGTAGACATGGGGTCCTTGGTGTTCCACCCTCACTCAGCAGGGCATGGGGACTCCCGAGGAGAGTGAGAACTGGGGAGCAATGGCAGTCTTTCTATCACAGACATGGCTGGGGCCCTGGCTGCTGCTGCTCTGTCTCCCGGTGAGCAGGAGTATCACCGAGGAGGTGCCGGAACACTGCAGTGACATGATCACGAACGGACACCTGCAGTTCCTGCAGCAGCTGGTGAGTGTGACCGTGCCTACTCGACCTTCTCCCGCTGGGCAGGCGCCAGGGCCAGGGTCACGGAGGGGTTGCAGGCAGAGGAATGGGGCAAGACATGGCCTGTGGCTCCCTCCTAGCTCCACTGATGCTCCCACATTGACTTTCTGAGGTCCCCGCCTCTGCCCCGTCCCCGGGGGCCCCTCTCTGGCTCCTCTACAGACAATGAACAGGGTGCATTCCAGCTGGGTGCCTGGGTTAATGATTGCCCAGACTGTCAACTGTGGATTTTGAAAGTCTGTGCCACTTGCTCGCCCATGTGTGACACTTCTCCGAGGAGCCAGCCCGTCTGCCGACATGTCCAGATGTGGCCTCCCCTCCTGGCCTCCCAGATATAATGCCAGCCTGGCACGAGGGCCACAGCCAGCTTCGGAGGGGAGTTTTCTGCCGGTTCCCAGCATTCAGGCCTCATTCAGCCCTCATTCATGCTTGCCTCAGGGCAGGGATCGGGCTGACCGTCCCTCCAGGGCGTGAGAGAGCCCGTGCCACATTCTAATAGGGGAAGAAAAGTCCTCGAGTCCAAACGCAGATCAGCAAGGCAGCGTCAGGTTGCCGCTGCGGCTGCTGTGCTGCTAAGGAAAGGATTTACCACCGCTCCATCCAACCAAGCAGGGGGCTACCAGTGGCTCTGGAGCTGGGGTGCCTCCTGCCTCATAGCTCTGTCCCTTCCATGCCGCACAGTCCACGCTAGAGCAGCAGCCACGGCTGCTCTGAGGCTTAGAGTCACAGAACCACGGCTCTGGGGAGCTGACACCAGCTTTAAGGCCGTCTATCCCAGCCCTCACAGATCCCCAGAGTTTTCTAGTCTCTGCTTAATTCCCGCCACGGAGCTCCTGTCCTGTATCTGCTAGGTGGCCCTCACTAACACACTGGCAACATCAGTAGGAAGCAAAAGACTTGTTCTCTGGCCTTCTCCTGGGCATGTAGAAGGCAGAAGTCTTCCCCTAGCCTTGGTTCTGTCTTTTTAAGTGTGGCTGGGGGTGGGGTGGATGAGGAGCCAGCTGTGACTCACCCAAAAACTCGAGTCTCCATTCTCAGGCAAACTCCATCCAGCTGCAGACCCCACCCCCCCAATGCCCTCTCTTACAGATTGACAGTCAGATGGAGACCTCGTGCCACATTGCCTTTGAGTTCGTAGACCAGGAGCTGTTGGTGAGTTATCACTACTTACAGGGCTGGTGCACAAGCTTCCCAGGAAGGATGTTTGTGGGAGCATAAAGTCAGGAAAAATTCTGGAGCTGGGAGGGGTTGGGTGTGAGGATCCCTGGGAGTACAAGTCTGGTGTGCCAGGGCCCAGGGCTGGGCAGCATACAGGGTCAACCCTCTGCAGCTTGCTTCTCATGCTTACTGTGTGCCAGGGACTTTTCTGATTTAATCTTGACATGACAGGACACCACTTGCTTTTTGTCCTCAGAGAAGTTAGGGAGCAGAGCCGTTCGATGGCAGAGGCCTGATTTAAATCCAGGCAGACTGGTACTAGGGCCTACCGCAAACCAATACTTCTTTTGGGTCCTGTGCTTTGCTTAAGACGTCACCTCCATCCAGCAGACACACCGTCAGCCAGGATGTCAGCCCAGCCCTAGGCTGTCCCCCTCGTAATCCACACCCACCCGCCGCCAAGCTGCAGGTTCTGCCTCCTGGCAGCTCTGAGATCTCCCCTACCCTCACCCTGTCCATCTGTTGCTTGGAAGTTCTAGAAGTTCCTAACTTCCAGTGTGTACCTCATCCTGCCACTAGGAGGGGCTCTCCAAATTAATCCCTTACCTTCACTTCCCTCTCCACAGACCTGTTTGGGGCCCCCCTCGCTTCAGAGAAAACCCAGATTGTTTAGCCCGGAGTTTATAAACTGTACTCCTTGTCACCCTGCCCCCCGCCCTCCCTCATTCCTTGCTCCTTCCTGCCTCCAAACCTTTGCACAAAATCTTCCTGACATCTAAACTGTGTTTGCAATGGCCCCCACCAGGATTCACTTTGCTCTGTTCATCTTTGTGCCTCATACAAAATCCCCGTCACACCCAGAAGTTGCTCCAGGCTCTGAGCTTCGACATGTCCGACCCACCCACACTCCTGTTGGAGCTGGAGATAGCTCATGGTCCACAGAACAACCTCAGAATTTCATTCACTCGCCTACTCAAGCTTCAGCAAGCATTTAATACTGAATCAGTACAGGAGCAGAGAGTAACACCATCTCTGCTGGGGCACCAGCCAACACTCTAGAGAGACGTCTGGCGCAGGGCCGGGTTCCCAGGCCAAATGGACCAGGCCATAAACTCCAGGTTGTCGTTTTCCAGAAAGACCCCGTGTGCTACCTTAAGAAAGCATTTCTCCTGGTGGAAGACATAATGGAGGACACCTTACGGTTCAAAGACAACACCCCCAATGCCAATGCCATCGTGCAGCTCCAGGAGCTGTCTTTGAGGCTGAAGAGCTGTTTCACCAAGGACCATGAGGAGCAGGATAAGGTAAGGGGTCCTGGAGCCATCACTAGTAGGTGGCGGGGTGGGGGGGGGAGGGGCTGCGGTGCTGGTGTTCCTGCGGGAGCCGAGAACATCCGCTTGCCTCACAGCTGGTCATTTTTCGCAGTCTTGCTCATGTATTCATCCCACAAACCTCTGCCGAGGACTCACTATGAAGAGGCCCAGGAACCCCCCAGTTCTGCCCTCACAGAGCTTGTAGGCAGTGACACTGGCAGTCACAAAACCAGCACAAGAAGGACGATTCGTCCAGCCAGCAGCAATGGGTGTCCAATTTGTGCCAGGTTTTGTTCTAGACTTTGGGGAACAGCTGTGAAAATACACAAAAAGTCCCCACATTAGTGGAATTTCTATCTGGGGGTGATGAGACAGCAAAATATCTAATGATTGGGATGTAGGGTGGTAACAGTTGCATTGGTGGAGGGTAAACCAGAAAAGGGAAGACCGGAAAGAGGTGAGGGAGTGAGTTCTCAGCCAGAGCTGTGTCTGAGAGACCAGGGCTCTAATTAAAAGAGGGGAGGGGTTCAAAAGACAGAGGGCCCTCCCTGGTGACGCAGCGGCTTGAAGCACAGCTAAAGCCACTTCTGCATGAGTTCGATCCCCGCCTCAGAGCTGACCCACACGGCGCGGCAGACCTCTCCTGACCCTCAGCAGTGTACTTCATCCATCTGCTCCCCACTCTGTCTCTGGTGACTCCTCTCACTGCCCCTGCACCTCTGGCCTGTACCCCAGTTCTATGTACATAAATAAATCTTTAAAAGAAAAAAAAAAGACAGGAAGCATTCTGGGAAAAGCGAGAATGAAACAATGAGAGAAGTTTCATTTCAGCTCCAAAGATGAGTGAACGTTAGGGTTGGTGAGAGCATTCCGGAACAGGGGGTGCTGTGCACAGCCGTCACGTGAGTGGGAACAGGGACGCTTGGGGTCCTCAAGGTGGCCGCGTGGCCAAAGCATGGATGGGAGGGAGAGAGCAGAGAGGAGGCAGGAGCCAGGTCACCTAAAGGATGTGGGATTTTTGTCTGAAGTGTGCGGGAGCCATAGTGAGCAGCGGTGTTACCTAAGAGTGTCACCTCATGGGACCTTTTAAGGCTCTCCTGTGCTGTGTGGAGAAGGGATGGTGGGGAGGCTGGGAGAGACCCAGTGGCCGGGAAGGTGGAGGCAAGTAGGTGTGGGTTTAGAAGGACCGAAGACCTTGTTGTGCCATGGCTGTGAGCAGCTGAGAGGTGGGAGTCCAGGATGGCTTATCCTGGAGCACCTGGAAGTTCCAGGAAAGATGAGTGGGCAGGACAGATTTGGGGGAGACCAAAAGTCCCTTTGGGGTACACGAAACTGAGGCTGTTGTGAAGCTGCCCGCTGGAGAGTCAGTCTCCAGCTGGATACCCAGTCTCCAGTCAGCTGGAGATGTCAGAGGTCACCTGTGAACCCTGGGAGGGTGGGGGCTGTGTGGCACAGTCCCTGTGCGGCTCTTGGGCCTCCCGCATTAAGTAGGATAGAGGCAGGCCCAGGAACCCCATGCGTAAGGAAGGAGACCTGGCGGGGAGAAGCAGCAGAGGAATGAATCTAGCATCACCCGGCCCGTGCAAAGGAGGATTTCAGGATGGAAAGAGCAGTCAGCTTTGTCAGAGGGGCTTGGGGAAGTCAAGCAGGATGAGTGGCCGTTGCATCTGGCAACAGGGAGGTGGCTGTTTGGAGGCCAGATAAGGGTGGCAGGCCATGGAGACAGTGCTGCGGGGAACTTGGCTTCCAAAGGGAGCGGAGAGAGAAGTAACGGGGCGTCGTGGGATTGGGGAAGAAACCCGTTCTGATGAGGGTATCGTATCTGTGGTTTCCCGATGTGATTTTACTAAGGCTCGCTGCAGGGAGGGGGCTTGTTTAAAATGCAGATTCCTGGGACATACACCCCTGGAGAGTCTGATCCACTGGGTCTTGGGATGGGCCCAAGAATCTGCATTTTAGGGACACTTCCCCCACCAACCCCGCCCTGACCCCAGGCGCTGAATGTGGAGGGTGGGCTCTCACAGAGGGAGTCTTCCGTAGCCAGTGAAGAGGTCACACAGGCAGGTGGGCACTGGCGTGGAGGCCATTTGTGAGCAGCACCTGCAGCAGGAGTCTGCTGAGAGAGCCTGGTGGCATCAGGACTTCTGGCTGAGTAAGAGCCAGCTTTCCTCTCTCCTATAACAGCCCGGGGGTGGGGAGGCTGGCAGGGATCATTGTTTTGACTTTCCAGATGAGGAAATGATCCCCCACTGGATGTTCACTTTGCCAGCGTCACCTCACCGGTGAGTGATGGGGCTGAGCCCAGCCGGGCCTTGTCATTGCACTCATTTAGCTGGTAAACATTTCGGAGGGGCCTACCAAGCACAGGCTGTGTGCACAGCGGGAAGCCTGGAAGCCCAGCAAAGCCCCGCGGGTCCAGTTGAGGGGAAGCTCAGAGCTTGGCAGCTGCGGCCAGCAGGTCAGCGCTGAAGGCATGGGAACGCGTGGCAGTGTCCGCTGGGAGAGGCGAGGTGGATGGAGCGCCGGTCCCTGGGGGACGCCGGCATCTGGGAGTCAGGTGGAGGAGGGGAGGCAGAAGGAGCTGCTGGAGGGGTAGGAGGAAAAGCAGGAGTGTGGGAAACTGCTCGGGGGCCCCAGTAGGTGTGGGAAACTGGGTCCCACGAGCAGAAGAGAGAAGGGCGGTTCAACAGCCAAGGCTGGGCAGCGTCCGCCTCCTTCCTAGACACCCAGAGCCGGAGCAGGTCCACGCCCGTGGCTGGCTGCAGTCCACTCCCAGCACAGCACACGGCAGGACAGCCCTGCTAAAACTCACGCCCTGCGCACCGCCACCTGCGTCTCAGCAAGCCCTCAGAGGTGCTCATTGCTTTATGGCTGCAGTTAACAGGTCGGGACATGGCCAGCAAGTCCCCGACCTGGCCTCTGGCCTTTGCTGCTCTCGCTCTGTCCCGTCTCTCACTGAACCCCTCCTAGATGGCCGTGCAGCAGCCACTCTCTAGCCGTCTTTCAGTCGTTCGATGTTCCAGGCCCTTGTCTGCCCCAGGACCTTTGCACATTCCATTCCCTCTGCAACCCCACTGCCTTTCCTGGTTAACACTTGTGCGTCTCTTAGATCGTTCTTTGAGGAAATTCTCCTTAGGCCCTCGTTTAGTTCTCCTTATAGACTCCCAGATCATTCTGTAGTTCTTCGTAGAGCTCACCGCCCTTGAAATACAGTCTTTATTGCCAGTGCCATCTGGACTCCATGTTGGCATTGTATTCATTGCACAATTCCCAAGTAATCACCATATGCCTGATACCTATATTGGGAAGTAGATCCTGGAGTACATGACATACCGCACCATCTCAGGGCTGATTCTGCTGCCATCGGGGCAGAGTAGAGGCAGAAAACAAAAGGGAAGGAGACATCTGAGAAAGGCCAAGGGAGTTTCACACACAAGCCAGAGACTGGGGGGTGGAGGCCCGCGCTCACCAGGGGCTTCTGCTCTCCTTCCAGGCCTGCATCCGAACTTTCTCTGAGACGCCTCTCCAGCTGCTGGAGAAGATCAAGAATATCTTTAACGAAACAAAGAATCTCCTGAAAAAGGACTGGAACATTTTCAGCAAGAACTGCAACGAGAGCTTTGCTAAGTGCTCTAGCCAAGGTAAGCACCCAACAGGCCAGCAGATGTGCCTGGGGGGTGGGGAAGGGCATGTGGGCAGGGCAGAATTGAGAGGTGAGAAGTGGGGCTGGAGGGGCCCCTGGGAGACAGCCTGGCCGCTGCCTGTGTGTGTAGACGTGCTTAGGTGTGCACGCGTGGCTTTGTGTCCCTCTGGCATCTGGGCACAGGTCTCCCCTGACGTGAGTGCATGTGCACCTACTATGTCTGCATGTCCAGGCCTCAAGGAGGCGCACACGGGGGCGCTGTGGGATCGGGAAGAGGGGGGGCCCTGTTGCTGACCCCCGTAGGCCTGGGGGCTTTCCCCACCGGCTCTGCAGGCTGGATGGACATATGGGGGTGCCATGGAAGGAGCAGAGGCTCTATCTGGGAGTCGGGTCCTCGCTCCAGGAGCCCTGCTGCAAATCACCAGGATGCCCTGGCACTCCAGAAGTTCCCAGGATGTCTTGCTGTCCCCTCAAGGGACAAGGCTGGAGTTGAAGTCTGAGCGTCACGCAAACTGTCCCAGTGCTGATCCAGCTGCACACATGTGTACCCTGCGTGTCCGCGCCTGCATCCTGTGCCACGTGTGCTTCCTACATTCAGCCTTGCTGCCCAGGCAGGGGCTGAGCTCCCGAGACCCGCCAACGGCCACGCCCAGTCTCTTTGCTTCAATCCCAGGGCCTCAAGCCTTGGCCACATTCCAGCCCCAGCCTGTACCCGTCCGTGGCTGTGCTGTGTGACTCCCTGGTTGTGCATGAAACCATCTCACTCCTTCCCAAACCAACGTGTCTTTGGGGCTAGAGGGTGTCTTGTGTCTTGTGTTGGTCCCGGATGCTGTTGTTCAACTGCCTGGCTTGGCTGCTACTCACCGCTGGCTTGGTCAGCTGACTCTGGTGTGGGCTATTCTCTGGTCTTTCCTGACCGTGGTCTGTGCATTCAGCACCCCCTGCCCCCCTCTTTGCTTTCTGCCCCGAGGGCCTATGTTTACACCTTCCTTGCCGACAGCCTGTGCCATGAACATCAGTTCTAGTCCTGTCCTCTCCTCAGCCCCAGGGCTGAGCTAGGGGATGAGGGGACCCCCAGACCCACACACCCTTCTCCATCCCCCTCTGAGAAAGTTGTGCTGGAGGCTGGTGACTCTATATCCTCCCCGTCTTTCTCTCTCCCTCTCTCTGTGGTTCTTTCAGATGTGGTGACCAAGCCTGATTGCAACTGCCTGTACCCCAAAGCCATCCCTAGCAGTGACCTGGCCTCTGTCTCCCCTCAGCAGTCCCTCACCCCCTCCAAGGCCCCTATGGCCAGCCCGACCTGGACTGACTCTGAGGGGGCGAAGGGCAGCTCCCTCTTGCCCGGTGAGCAACCCCTTCACACAGTGGACCCAGGGAGTACCAAGCAGCGACCACCTAGAAGCACCTGCCAGAGCTTTGAGACGCTGGAGACCCCAGGCGTTGAGGGCAGCCCCCCCGAAGACTCGCCTCAGCCACACCCCTCTGCCAGGGCCCCCCTTCCTGGGGTGGACGACGTTCTTGACTCTGTATTGGGCACTAACTGGGCCCTGGAAGAGGCCTCCGGAGAGGCTAGTGAGAAGCCTGCGCCGGAAGGGGCAGAGCCTTCGCCCTCCGGCCTGGGAGGGAGCAGTGTCCAGGCAGAGCCAGCCAGCCCCAGCGATCTCCTCTCAGCATCCTCTCCACTCCCCGAACTGGCAAAGGGCCAGGAGCCAGCAGATGTGACTGGCAGCCCCCTGCCCAAGATGGGCCCCCGGACACCCAGTGGCCAGGCCCAGAATCTCACCCCTGAGAAGACAGACCATCCATCAGCCCTGCCCAGAGACCACCAGGATTCCACCGGGACCCCCTCACTGCACCCGCAAGGCCGCAGCAGCCCCTCCACTCTTTCTGCTCAGCCACAGCTTCCCAGAAGTCACTCCTGGGGCAATGTGCTGCCCCTCGGGGAGCTGGAAGGCAAGAGGAGCACCAGGGACCGGAGAAGCCCTGCAGAGCTGGAAGGAGGATCAGCCAATGAGCGGGCAGCCTGGCCCCCGGCCCGTTTTAACTCCGTTCCTTTGACTGATGCAGGCCATGACAGGCAGCGCGTGCAAGCCTCCGACCTCCAGCTCTCCGGCTTTGCCTTCCGCCTGCTGGTGCCCAGCATCATCCTGGTCCTGCTGGCCGTCGGAGGCCTCCTGTTCTACAGGCGGAAGCGGCGGGTAAGAAAGGCCGAAGTGGAACCGAGGCTGCAGCTTGGGCAGTGGTGGGTGGAGGAGCAGGCCGGACGACTGTTCGGATTCTGACTGGGTTTTTCAGAGAGAAAAGAGGCTGATGAGCACAGAGGACGGGAGGTTCAGGCCGGGGTGTGGCCACTTCAAGAAAGGGAAGGACTCGGGCTCTCAGGGCATGAAAGGGGTCGGAGCAGAAGGGAGTGGGAAAGAATATTCTGGGGCTGAGAGCAGGATGAGAGCCCCAGGTGGGAGAGGAGATGGAGAGGGACAGTGAGGCTGCGTGGGAGTCAGGGCCTGGCATTCACTGCAGGCTCTGCAGAGCCCGGGACATCAGGACCCCACCAGCCCCGATGTGGGGAGCGACAGCCTGTCTGGGAGAGGAGAGCCTCACAAGCTCCCCGGCCCCCGTAGCCAGCCCCCACTTCTGGGGCAGACTTCTGTAATTCTCACTGGCTTCACGAGCAGCCTGGAGGTCCCCCCAAACCCCCAGTTCCTCAGTGAGCCTCTCTTTCCTGTCTCTAGAGCCATGGAGAACGTCAGGCGGTGGAAGTCCCCATGGAGCAACCAGAGGGCAGGTGAGAGTGGGTGGGGGGGCCAACGACCTGTCTGGACGTCCACTTCCCCTCCAGTTTCCATGACCTCTGAAGAAACGGAGCTCAGAATAGGATGGGAGCTTGTGTGAAAGAGGAAACGCACCCCCTTCCTAGATACCTGGGAAGTTGGCTGATTTCTTCTGGGTCTTCTAAATCTGAGGGGACTAGAGCATATGTGGAGGTGGGGGTAAAGTTGCAGGGCCCCTCACTCCCCCGCCCCTCTGAAGTCTCACTCCCGTGCTGTGCTCTCCCCTCAGCCCCCTGACCCAGGATGAGGACAGACAGGTAGAACTGCCGGTATAGGAGGCTTTCTAAGGTAAGACTCCGATTTGATCTCTCTCCACCCTGAAAACTAGCCACACCCTTTTCCAGTAACCCTAACCTACTGGCCACACCACCAACTTCCCGGAGGCCCCACCTGTGACTCCTACTCCCTTCCCCACTGGCCCCCAGCCTCTGCCAACACTGTCCTCCCTGGGTGCTTGGTCTCCTCTGTCTCCTGTTCCTCCCACCCCTTCTGAGCCAGGCCCCACTGCCTCTGCCTGCACTGAGGCCTTGTTTCTGCCCTGAGCTTCCAGTCTCGCTGCTCCTCTATCTCAGAGCAGCCGCCATCCTCTTGTGTCAGCTCTTTACCCTCCCGGGGAATTTCAGTAGCTCTGTGTTGCCTTTCACTTCTCAGCTTGTCTCTCAACCCCACCAGCCGCTGCCCTCAACACCCGCCTCTTGCCAGCTTGCCCTCTGTTTACACCCCACTTCAACCCTCTCCCCAGCCGAGCGCCTCTCTACCTCCTGCTTCGTGTAGATTCTACTACCAGTAGACCCATGGAACCGTAGTCCAGAGGGGCTTATAGAGCTGCTCTGGCCTAGCGTCCCACCCCAAGGGGGCTCCCCTCACACACCCCTGGCAGGGACTCAGCCGACTCCCTGTCACGCTCCCCCCGTGCCAGGCGAGTCCCCACCACCTCCCACGAGCTCAGAGAGGAGTCCTTCCTCTTTCAAGGTGCGACTTAGCTCCCTGCCCTGCTGTGCTGAGAGCCCTCCATGGTTAAAGTCAGTTATCCTTGTCCCCTTTAAGAATTCTCAAAGCCAAATGTGGCCAAGCCCCTCAAACATTCCTTATATGATATGGTTTTCAGACCCCTCACCATCCTGGTCACACTTCTTTGGACACACTCGTTTGTCAATGTCCCTCTGAAAATGTGGCACCCAGGCCTGGACACAGTGCTCCAGATGTTGTCTGACCAGCTCAGAGTACAGTATCTGGACAGTATTCTTCTACTCATAGACATTATGATTGCATTAGTTGTTGTTGTTGTTTTTTTCTTTTTAACAAATACATCATATTATTGTCATATGCTGAGTTTGTAGTCTGTGAAAAGCCCTAGTTCCATTTCCCAGAAACCTCTGTCAAGCCAGACCTTGTCTGTTCTGTGCTGGACGACTTCATTTTTTTAACTGAAGTGCAGGGGTTTCTATTCTCCCTGCTGAAACTGCCCTGGTGGTTTGGGCCCATCTCCTGAGCCGAGTGGCTTTGCATCTCATCCTGTCTCCCGAGCGTGTCTCCCGACACGAGGCGTGTCTTCGGCTCTTGGCCCACATGGCTGATAAAGATGTGTCCCCACTCGGCCCTGGGACCGATTCTGCCTGCCCCTCTCCCCGCCTCCCTTCAGGCCTTCCCGAATGTCCCCGCTGTCCCGACAGCTCCTTTATCAGGCCCTTCGCTCTTTTGTATTTGATGAATACTGTATCGATTCGCACTTATTAATGTTGTTTTTATACATTTAAAAATCTGGTTCTGTGTAAATATGCATTCTGCACCCCTAAGAAGGCTGTAAGCCCCTTGAGGGCAGGGACTGTGTCTTCCACGTTTTGCATTTCTTTTTTATCCCTTTCTAAGACAGAAAGGGCTTCCCTGGACTTGCCAAGAAGAGCTCAATAAAAGTTGACTGACTGGCTTCAGGGATGACTGACTGGCCACCTGGCCCGAACT